TAAAGTTTATATCTTCCGGACAAAATTATAAAAGTGCCCGTCAAAGGTCTTCTTTGTTATTTATCGAGCTTTAAAACAAATGAATAACGACGATATATAATAATAAAATACACGGAGCCTGTCTCTTTTTCCTCTCTTCTCACAGCGTCAGTGTCTGCCTCATGCAGCAGCTGATCCTGTAATGATGACCCGACAGTAAAAATAAACATATTTATAACTAGTTTAGTTTGAGAGGTAATTAAAATAGCTAAGGGTGATGATCTGACTTGAAGTGTGTGTTTTCCTCCCGCTGCATCACAGCCGGAGGAGCTGCGTGTCTCCGTCCTGTCAGATTAGACTTCACTCGCGTTTATGTCCATATCGAGATAAAGATAAATAATCTGAATTCAGTGTGCAGTGTACTTTTGCGGGGGTGAGCAGCAGAGGTGGGGGGAGGCAGGGCTATTGCATCATCATTATCACAAAATGATTGTATAGAGGCGATCACACGGAGCCGTTGGACCCCCCAGAGCGCTCCCTTCCCAGATCTATCCACCTTTGGACCCGTTGTCATTTGCGGGGTCCGTTTCTATCGTTTCGTTACGGCCTCGTGTGGCAAAAAGGGCTATACGCAAGAGAAATATGCGGATACAACCCGTTTTCGTTCCCGTGGGGCTTGGGCCTGAGACTTCACCGTGTCCAATTTATTGCCTTCTTGACAGTTCACACTTCCCTAGCTTCCTCCCTCCTTTATGTAAATCTTCACACACTTTCCTGGCTGTCACCAGTCTCTCCCTTTTCTCACTTCCCGCTCACCCCCCCTTGTGACTCTGCTGTGACCTATGGAGGTCTTTCAGCTGGAGCTGGGGAAGTTACAAAAGTGAGCAGCTGAAAATGAAGCAGGAGGAGTGGAAGTGCATCTGTGTCACTTCATGTTGGACTGACAAGTTCAATGATTAAGAACACTCATTAACTCACGATGAGTTGTTCTGTTGGTGCCTTGCTCAGAGATGGGAAATAGAAGAGTGATAAGAGATAAGACCTGGCATCTAACAGTTAGTCTCTGTTGATGGCTTTATATAGTTCATGGTTTCTCAACACTTGCAAAAGGAAAGCTTACTTTTTTCAAATTACATTGTAGGATTTCACCTTTAAGTTATCGGAACTGTTTTTTCACCACTCACACCTGTGCCCTCCTTTATCAAAATGTGCTTAGAGGAAGATCTAAATGAGGATGTAAGAAGTCCTAATAAAAAATACAATAATGCACAATGATTGGTCTACATCAGTTTAACTGAAAAACACTTTGGCCAAGCAAAAACAATTCCTGCTAAAGAGCGTTTATTAACATTCACTGCCATTATCAACTATTCTAGGGTATAGCAACTTATTTTAAGTGCAGTTGAGGTTAGGAAGGTAAGGAACATACTACTTCCTGCATGAACGACGTATGATGCCATTGAATGAAAAAAATGAAATTGTCCAATTTGGACGTAAGTCTTAACATTTCTGGCATGGTTTGTGCAGCCCAAAACACTATAGGCAATCCCTTTAAAAAGCATGTTGGACAAACACATTTAACAGTGATGTTTTATAATGCTGACTGAGGCTCATCTAAACCAACATTCTTTGAGTGGTACAGAACCTCTTCATTGTCATTTGTGAGTTATAAAATAGTGGCTTAAACGAGTTGCAGATGCTCAGTGATGCAGTATAAAGGAGATAAAAAATAGACATCAATGCAAAGTTTAAAGAATTAACATTTAATTCATTCAATTTCTTGTTCACAAACCTAAATGTCATTTTTAAATTGAGACTCAACTGAAAATGCTGGATTGTCAAATATGTTATTATGTAAAGGGTAAATTATAGGTGCTAAAATGTCAATCTCGCAATTTGATGAGATGATTGACAGTAAAAAGCCATTGGAACTGTCTCCAGGTTTGGAAATGGTTAACCCATGATAACACTTGCTGCTGGTGTCAGAACACACACTGTGTACGGCGTAGGGTTCACATGCTTGGAGTGGCATCAAACACACATCCTCAGCTCTGCATGTAAGAATGTAGGAAAATGTTCTTTGATACACTTACTTTGGTTCATTCTGACGGAGACACACAGCTGCACTCTTTTATTTTGGCAAAGTATTTCCCCAGTGGAGACGAGTGTAATGACTTCACGGTGCTTGTAAAGGTTTTATGGTGTTTCAGACTCTTGACAGCTGTGTTGCAGCTTCTTCCTTTAAGATAAGTGTTTGTAGAAAAGAAAGACCTTGCATTTGCAAAGCAACAGTTTTAACTAAGAATGTATCATTGAACTGCCTTTGTGTAGACACAAAAGGCTTCTGCGCAAATGGAAACAAACATTATAAATTGTTCCGCCAATTGCTTTGTGAATTCGTTGATCAATGTTGTTCAAAATGTCGAGAGGAATGTCTCCAAAAGGCCAGTTAATGTCATGAGATGTGCAAGCAATACATGTTGGCATTTGTGCTTGAACTGAACAATGGCTGAATTCATTTCTTACGTTTTTGCAGCATTGTTTTTACAATTCACACCTTCCAGGGTAGATTGATTTGATAACAGCATTTAAAAAGTCCAACCCTTTGTTTGTCCATGCAGCTGTAAAATGCTTTGTCTTAAATAATGAATAGAAACCAGTGATTTTCTTTTCCCATGATGCATTGTCCATACTGTAGAAGGAGCATGGAGCAGTTTCCCCTCCAGAGATCCGTGCCAATCGTGTGAGAAGTGATGTTGAGACTTATTCATAACATGAAAAACATGGTTTCTCATAATACAAACCATATGGACATTATATTAAACTGTAATGAAAAATATCTCTCAGAAGAAAAAGCCTCAGCTGAATGAAATGTTATGTAAATGTATTGTAATGTAAAACATCTGTATGTCATATAGATGTAGAATAGAAAAACACATCAATACTCCATGGTGAGATATCCTGACAGCTACTGGGAAGATTACCACTTTGCTGTGGATATTTATGCTTCCTAGAATGAGTACTTTTCTCTGCTATCACCATCTGTTTAACGTGACCCTTTGGATATTAACATCTTTTGGTGCTACTCACGGCACATGCAGAGGTTTGGGGCTGAACATGTCATCATGTGAAGCTGGGCGGACGTCCATGAGCCTCATTTCCACTCCCACAGGTGGCCAGAAATGGATGTAGGAACATTTATACAGTGTGTATCGGTTTGCATATGGAAACATCTGCCCACTGCATCAATCATTAGGACTGTCAATGAGAAATAAAGCGGAGACGGAAGTGACATTTCACCAGATTCTTCTCCAACAACCCCAGAGCAGCTGTCATTATGCACAGCTGTGGCTATTTGGAGAGTCAATACCGCTTATTCCGCGGTTTTATGACTCCTTCCTGCACCACTCTACAATGGTTTCTGCAAAACCATTGTAGAGTGGTGCAGGAAGGAGTCATAAAACCGGGAAAATACCTTGCATGTTACCACTTCCGGTTCCCTCGTCTGGTTATTTGAATGGTTTGGGGTTAGAAGCATGAAATAAGGACTGTTAGAGATTTTCACGGGTCTTTCTACAACATAAAATCCGTCAGTATATACAACACTGGTGAATGTCCAAAGCTTCTATACGTAAAAAAAACGTGTGGTTGCATACAAGTAACTAAAAATCTACTAAACGTCAACACACCGACATGAGACCGCCTGCAGCTTAGCGGGGGGTGCACATTCATGCTACGTAAATCATAGAGTTGTGTTAATATGTGGAGATTGCTGATCCTAAACGTGTTAAACATCATAAACGTGTGTTTGCTACAAAGCTTATTTTCTTCAATTGACCAAGAGATCCAACAGGGGAATCCTATTGCTTTGTGTTGAGGGAAACCTTGCGCTGCATCACTCTATTAATGTACATTTGAAATCATCATAACTATTACATTATTATTATTATTCAACTTAAACAGTCATTATCAAGAATATGGTTGCTCTAATGTAAATGAATAATAAATAATAAAAATAAACTGCAGAAATCTTGAAACAAAACAGGTTAACGTTTCTTTATTCAAAATGTAACCCAGTTACAGAATAACTTGTGGATAATCTTTGCTGCAAATGTGTGCTCTGACTAATAAAACATCCTTCCCAATTTAAGCCTTAAAGATCGAATCATAAATCTATTGATCATAAATCTATCGATTCGATTTATGATTAGAAAATTATAAAAGTAGGGTAGACATGTGGAGTTTATCCTACTGAACAAAACGTGACCCGTCTCTTAAATGTGTCTCAACCATAGAGCTTATTTCCAGCTATTTTCAAAAATCCTATGAAGAAATTGCATTGCTTTTTTGTCGAGGGAACCGGAAGAAGCTTACTTCCGGGTTTTAGGACGCGTCACTGTGGCACTCTATTGGTAACTTTTTTGATGATCATCATTTCAATAATATTTCAAACAAAATGACCAGCATTACAAATCACACAAGGCCCTGATTAATTGTGATGTGCATTATTTCACTAATTTGCTAAATAAACTGTGAAATTATAAAAAAAACAATTGACAGATTAGTCAATAAAGATGAAGTTGCAGCTATGGCCGAGCGATATCTTTTTTAATATAGGAATTGTCAAATCTTGAAAACTTATTAATGTATTTTTTTTCATTTAAATGGGAACTTTAGTGCAAAAGTAACATAACACTTTAAAGGGAAATTCTAGAGAAGAAGTTAAAAAGTCATCAGATTATGAATCTGTGTTTGTTACTATAAAAAAAACGTGTCAATGAATACCAGAAAAGCAACAAATCTGAGATATATTTTAGGGAATAGGTGTGTCAAAGGCATTTTTTTCCCACTGAGGTTTTATGGCCATTCAGGCATCTTGTTGACTGTGTTACCTGCTGGCTGAACACTCAGAAAATGGAGGCTGTACAGTAAATACACTTTGATGTTTAAAATGCACTTAAGCCAAGTGTTCCTGGTGTTCTCCTGCTCTGAACTGACCTGATCTCTGCTTCACCCCACAGGAGCAGTACCCAGACAGAGGGGAAGTACAGCTCTCATCCAGCCACCTCCAACTGGTGCTACAAGTGGAACGTAATCAGTGAGTACTCCTTCTGTGGAACCATCTTTACCGCCTACGCCCCTTTAATTACCTCCTCTGTCTTCCACCTGAGAAGAGGAATTAATTGTGCATCACAGAGTGTTGAGTGAGGCGATAATAGAGGGAGATAACAGAAATCTCTGCCTCTTCTCTCTGCTCCGTCTTTGTTGTTTTGGTTACCACAAGGTTACTCAATGTTTCCACATCTTCAATCAATCAAATCAATCAATCAAAATACTTTATAAATCCCAGGGGGTCATAAGGTTTCGTGACAGTTGCACCATATTAGAATAAATACATACATAGGTTGCGGTCGAATACTCCAAAAAAACAGCTCCTAAGTTCTAACCCTATCGTCTATCCCTTGACCTCTGAGTGAAACGTCATGGGGTTAAGGGATAGTGGACTTTCAAAAGGACTTAGGAGAAGAGACTGCGGTACTTTAGAGAATCCGACTGCACTTTCACTATCCGACGTGTTTATGATGCGCCAGCGGAGGTCATAAATGTGCGTCTGCTGCTGTGGGGAAACTATGGAAACTACAGTTTTCTATACGGCGGACTACAACATGGATGTTTAATAAGAACGAGGGACTACTGTAAACTCATCTAGAGACTCTGCACCGTGCTCTGATGCTGTTGTTTTATGCTTTATGAACGGGGACAACAGAGGAACATATTCTTCATGACCAAAGTTGGAATTGAAATAAAAAAGGAAAGTGAAACTTAAGCTCGTCCCCCTCTCCCTCCGGTCCACATTAATACAAATGATCCCAATACGTATGATTGTATGAAAAGATCTTAAAATCAATACAAATGTATTTATTATAAACGTTAGTCCTTAACATCTATCACTGTGTATATCACCATTCAAACATCTTTGAAAAGTTGAACAAACCCCACACAGCTTAGTAAAGACTGTGAAATGTTGACTTTATTTGATCATTTCAGTCAAAACTAACGTTCATATTTCTCTTTTTGATTATAATACTGATGAACGTTCAAAACAAAGCACTTTGGCAACTTACCACATACGTTTTAAAATGCTTAATAAGCACCGTAACTTTCATGATATCATTTCTCGGTCATAATCGGTTGTTTCCGTGAACGGCCGACTGTTGTGAGACGGCAAATGCCGCGGCCGCAAGGCATTGTGGGGCAGCATTTTCTCCTCTCCTTTCGGTGAGGGAGGTCCAGTGGTTCCTAAGCTAAAGGAGGTTATAAAGGAAGTTTGAAACCTCCTTTCCTATCATCTAGAGAATTGGAACGGCACTTATCATGGCTGCCACTGAGGGACTTCCGGGTCATTTCACTCCGTTAGGAAGGTTCCTAAGCTAAATGGATTATTGGACCGCAACCCTACTCTTGATGTACTCCTTGTCGGCCCTAACATTCAGGAAGCCATTGATGGAAATGTAGTTGTCAGGTGTATCATGGTGTAGACTACCGTACACTATTCCATCTGACTCGTAGTTAACGATGTGTCGTGGGCAACGCGGCCTATATTTCCTTTTCTACATACATCTGGACACAGCCTTCCTCCTTCGTCTCTTTGCGTCCTCATTTCCCTCCAGATTTCAGTGGGGATCTGTTCTTCCGACCACCATGCTAGCCAGTTTTAGCCCGATTAGCTTTGGTGCAAACAAGGCAGCCATGTTGTGTATCCAGTGTCGTGGATGCAAAACAGCAGCAACTCAACGGCAAAAAAACAAAACAAAATCTCTCTACTAAAAAGGTTACAGAGGGCACAGCTTACTAATTTAACAAGTTACCGATAGAAGTCATTAAAAGAAAACGAACAAGTAAGATCAAATAAGAAAGCTTAAGGCTGGAAATAGTATAAATCTAGCAGGGGAGCTGCAACAGGCTGCACGCTTGGCGCAGTAAAGAAGATTCTATGGGTGGCTTTAGGGGATGGAAGTGCTTATACTGTAGCAGGCGGTAGCAGCTCAATTTCCCTGAAGCAACAAGGTTTGAGCTCTTATTTTTTTAAGGAATATGCTGGGAAAACTTTGTTGAAGTCAGCTCTTGGGTGCACTGAAAGAGAAATGTAATGTTCCATTAGGCACATTATACGATGTTCACGGACTTGTCTATGACTGTGAAAGCAAAGTTATGGTTTTACAAAATGGAATTCAAAGCTTTTCACATTTGCCTGGAGATAGATGAATATGACAGGCAGGAATCATAGCTTTAGCATCTTTGTAATGCAGGGAATGTGTGGGACTAATCAGAATGAGTGGTGAGTCCCATGAAGGGCAGGTGGAACAGGGTTCAAGGTCAGCAGAGGTCATGGTGTTCCTGTGATAGCATCATGTGGAGCTCCGTCTGCTGCGTGCATCATTAGCCCGAGACGTGCTCAGACTCCCTGAGGTGCATCACTTAACATGCTCATGGAGCCGGGGGTGGAGAGAACATGCCCCAACACCTCCCCCCCGTTCATCAGGGGGGAGCGACTGACCAAATACTACGCATACTCAAATGTTACCCACAAATATTAATTAAGTGTATAACTGCATATGTTTAGTCAGGAGAGAAGCCTATATTGGCAGGCTGGTATATGTTCTAATGTGTAACATCTAGAGAGACGTAACATGAAATGACACACATTTCTTTAATAAAAAAATACATTTTGGGAAATACATTTTCAGAACTTAACATGCCTACATAGTGACATCACTCAAACACTCAAATTCTGTAAAATGCAAAATTTGACAAGGAACCCATCAGGTTCCAGTGCCTACCCACTTCTTCTTATTTTTGCTTGCTCATTTATTTTTGCTGATATCGACCGAACAAGACTTAGCTCTTGTTATTCACAAATAGTTTGAAATTGCAATTTGTTTAAAGAATAAATCATTTATTTCAGTTTAAATGATTACACTCTGAGGTGTAGAGCTCTTCATAGCATTTCTAAAATGTGTTAATGTGTAATTGATCAGTCATTATGCCTAAAGCTGTCTGAGCAGATGGCAGATTATCTCTCTCTGCATATTTCCTTTGCCTCTATTTCATACTGTGAATCTGATTCAGTTTGCAAAGCAACGATTCCCATACAGGCCAGAGGTCAGTGGAAGGAGTGAGATGGTGTTCACGGTCTGGAGCGTTTATTGGACAGATAAGCAAACACACTGCATGTATAGGATTTCTGTTGCTTGGAAACAGATTGATGACTTGGGGTGAACAGGAGACAAATGGAGGAGCCGACAGACAGTTAGGCAGATAAACAAGAAGCTCTGAGACAATGTGGCACACTTGACAGTCAGACAGGGATGAATGACGGGGGGGTGACGTGGCACCCAGTCTGGGACAGGAAGCCGGTGCTTATTTGAAACCAAACAAAGCACAGGAGTTTGGTCTGGAGCAGCGAATGTAGGTCAGAGTAAGAGGGACACGTTCTGTTGGAGTTACTGGGAATGGGACTGGGTTTATTTGATCTGACGGGCCTCTTCCACTGGGACAGGACTGGAACATGGCCAGTGTGTTTGAAGGCCAACATCATTACTTTTACACCCATTAGAGGAGGGAAAGAAAACGAGGGCTGCTTGTAATAAAAAAAGATATATGGTGTATTTAAACGAGAAGAAATGATCTTGTTATATTGGAAAAGAGTGTTATGACACCAAATCATTTGATTATGATCTTGTTAATAAAAGAGTCTATTTTTTTTACAGCAAAGCCTGTCATAAAAAAGAGAAAGCATATTCTTATAATGCTAAATGTATCTCTCTATCACAATAAACCCTCTGTTACAGAGAGAACACATCTTTTAGTCACGATAAAAGTCACTTCTTATTGAAGCAATTCATTAACAACAATGCATTCTGTTATAAGTAACAACAGGATAAGATTATCATGTACTAATACTTATATTCATTATTTATGAAATTACTTAATAAATATCATTCAGTAGGGTATACATTTTACAATATAAACATGAAGTAAAATGTGATTGAAAGAAAAGATAGATAATAATAATTGCAGTAAGCAGGGCAAAGTTTATCATAAATATATTGATAATATGATGAATGGATATTGATATCATAACAGATTGTGGTTAGGAAAATACATATATACATATCATTTAATAATGGTTGATTTATATTCATAATTAAGCATTAAGTGATAAGGCGTAATACAATCGCAAAATCAACACAAGAAATGTGTGTAATAAAAGGTTGCTAAGGGTAAATAAACGCAAAAAGAATACATTATAATGAAGAACATTTCTTGTGATTGTTAATAAAGACAGTAAAAAAGGTACAATGCTGTAATAAATAACCGATAACAATGAGTCCAGGTCATTTTGAAATCTGCTTCTCTTTTATCATTTTCTTAAAGCTTAAACTTACTGGTTTATAATGTATGGGTATAACAGTAACATTTTACAAGAACACAGTTTACCAAAGTGACATTCAAGCTGATGTCCAAACTGTCTTCTTCTTCTCTTTCTAACCTTCAGCCAAACACTTCTGTCACTTTCTTCTCTTCAGAAGCAGAACAGGTGAATCAAATCAGAACCAAGTGCTAAATCAAAATGATCGACTGGTCCTACAAAGTGTGACTCCTTCACTTCAAGTATACAGACATGAGTCAGGAGGAGGAGAGATGGAGGGAATGAGAATGAGCTAGGAATGTGCCGTGGGGGGAGCTGACCTACACACAGATCCTGGGAATAGATTGTGTGTGTGTGTGTGTGTGTGTGTGTGTGTGTGTGTGTGTGTGTGTGTGTGTGTGTGTGTGTGTGTGTGTGTGTGTGTGTGTGTGTGTGTGTGTGTGTGTGTGTGTGTGTGTGTGTGTGTGTGTGTGTGTGTGTGTGTGTGTGTGTGTGTGTGTGTGTGTGTGTGTGTGTGTGTGTGTGTGTGTGTGTGGAATGCCAGCTGACGTAAGGCTGAACATGGCTGTGCTGGACAGATGCCAGAGGATGTGCTGGCAGTCTGTCTGTGAATCACTTGTTGGCCCACCCTGTCGCTGGCCCCCCTCCCAGCTGATGTAATGAGC